TGGAAGAGGAACATTGCGGCTGGCACTAGGGTTACCCTTGGGAGAGACAATGAACAGTGTTGGGTTTTATACGCTGAAAACATGTGTTCTTCTGCTGCTTTTTGTCTTTTTCTTTAATTAATTTCTATACTATTTTTTATTAATAAAACTAAACTAATTCCTAATTAATTAAATTTAAAAAATCTAACCTAATTCTAATTAATAACCTATTCTAACTCTAATTAAATTCTAATAAAAAATCTATTCTAAACTAATTAATTAAATCTATTTCTAAACTTAAATCGTAATGTTAAATAAATTAAGTTCTAATATAAAACTAATTAACTAAAAACTAATCCTAATACTTAATACTAATTGATAAATCTAAAATAAAATTATATCCTAATCTTGATTAATTAATTCAAACTCCTAACTTAAACTAATTATAATCTAAATCTTTTTTGTTTTTTTTTTCTCTTTTTAATTCAACTCTAATTCTACTTCTAATCTAAATTCTAATAAAAATCCTATTCTAAACTAATAATTCTAATTCTAATCTATTCTAAACTAAAATTGTTCTTTTGAAACTTTTCGTTCATTCCTCTCACCATTCTTACTCTTTCCGGTAGGGTTCTGAAAACACAAAGTAAACGGGAAAAAACCTGTTAGTATCAAAATTGTTCACCTTTTTCGCGAGGTTTGAAGCGATTTGAGTTGGTTCTTTTTCGCCTCTTTTTCCTTATTTTTTTGCTGATTGAACTCCCCTTTTTCTTCCCCCTTTTGGATTTCCTTTTTTTCTTCCTCCTTCTGGATTTCCTTTTTTTTATGATGAACTGATGGTGAGGCTGCTGTTTATATAATACTTGTTTGCTTTGGGCCTGGGCATGCTGGTTTGTTGATTTCTTTGACCTTGTTTTGCTAAAATTTTGTGAAAGTTGTTTCTGTTGGCTTTGACTCCGTTTGGTTGCAAGGATTTTGGAAAAGTTATTTCTGAACTTGGATATCCATTTTTCTTGATGGATCTAGATATCCACTTTGGTTTTATGGATTTTGGGTGTCTTAAGTCTTGTTTGGCTAAAACCAAGAAAAATCACTTTTCCCACATAAACACTTTTTCAAAAAGCACTTTTTCAAAAAAAATCACTTTTTCTATCTCTTGAAAACAAACTGAACAGATTATTGTCGAGTCCAAAAAGTCGAAAGTTGAAGAATTGGACGCGGAGACAATTAGGCTTTTTAGGAAAATAATTAGAAATTAATTTGGAATTGTAATTGCCTTTGCACATTGTAATAAAAAACATAGAATTTAAATAAATAAATTTCATTTTTCTTACTAAACTGAATTTAATTCCTGATCAAATTTCTCCGCGTAAATTTACCTGCTTACACTTAAGCAACTAAATTCGCTCAATTATGCTCCACCGATCAAAATCATCCGATTAAATGCAAATGACTAAATTTCTCTGATGAAACTCATCTAAATAAATTTGTCTGATTAACTTCATCCAATTAAAATTATCAGATTAAGCTTTGACGTTCCAAACCCCGAATTTGACAATTAATCATCTTGCACGAACAATTTCTAAGGTGTCTAACCTTATTAGTCCAAGCACAAACAATTTTCTCCTTCACCTGGTCAAAAATTGTGCTTTCAACAGATTTCAACAAATCAGGATATTTTCGCACACTTTCCTGAAACTCATAATGGAACCAACATAAAGTTCTTTAGTGGAAGAATTTACAATATGATTCCATGTTGTCATACCTTGAAAAATACAATCGTTTGCGAAACGTACATTGCACACTCACGGAAAATAGTTCGAACAAATTCATCACCAAACTTTATTTATTCCAATGAAGGAATAGAAAAATGTCGATAAAATCTTTGAAAAGAACATGGTCGTCACAACCATATTTGGGTTCGGGAGTCAATTACGCAAGGGGAAAGTATTAGAACCCCTCATGTCTGTTGTACTCAACGGGAACCTCTTAGTTAGATTTGTCATTCAATGTTAGTTTATGTTGATTGCTTTCTTCAAGTGATAAAAAGATTAAAAGAAAAAAGAAAGGAAACCGTAAATTTTTTTTAAGGTTCCTGTCGAGATTGTGAGTCTCGCTCCTACGTATCTCCGAGAGAAATAGAGAATTCAAGGCTACGTATTTCCGGGAAGAAAAGTGTTTGTTGGTTGGTCGATTTTAGCGAAAGACATTTAGTCGCATTTGAGAGAAAACGTTGTTTTACCCAAAACAGGTGAGGAATGGACGTTCGCATCAAGGCATAATGGGTTTACAAATCGACATTCGCAAGAAACACCACTTATCTCAACTCCAATATTTATAGACGAATGTTCATATGATAGACTAATTGCGACCATCACATGAACATTTGAGAAAGCATGAGAAAATTTCTTCCACCCCAATCTTTTTTAATCGGTTTTTGTTGAAAAAAGATTTTAACGGATAACTTGACGTTGGATCAAGTGTTTGAATCTTATTTAAAAGATTGATTATATTATGTATCCATTTTATCATCTTAATTACAATTAAAAGTATACCTACATACAAGATTAAATAAGTTACACAATCACATATGCCATAGAATTAACCACAATTTCAAGTAGTAAATAAATCATGCAAGCAATCACATATTCAAATAAAGATCAAACCAATCCGCCAAACATGAGTCAAGATTATTATTTTCAAGTGATTTTAAAACTTATTTTGGTAATTCAAAACATCTAAACAATATTCAATATTTTTATTTTTTCAAATAAAAAGAAGCCAAAACAAATGTTTATATACATAAAAAAAACTTTAACTTTTTTTTTTTTGCATTTTTTGAAAATAGTTATTATAATAAAAAAAAATAAGTAAGTAAGAAAGTTGTACCAGGGGTGCATGGTTGGGCGATGGAGGTTAGGCATAAGCAAATAATTAATAAAAAATACAAGGGTCCAAAAGAACCAACTGGTTCGAGCCAGGTAAATTGAAACTGGATCGGGTTTACCCAAACCCAACCTCTTCTTAAGACTAAAACCCGATCCCTTCATTCCTTTTGTGGACCCTAAATTCAATCTTATTCTTTCTGCCTCCAACCTCTTTCTTCTTTGTTCCAAGACAAAAATGGCCAACCAGACCTCTACGGAACAAATCGTATGAACCTAAACGAAAATATCTCAAAATTATCTCTCTGAAGCAACTCATACCTCTTTCTTCTTGCAGCTGTTTTAATATCTTGATTTTGAGATTTACAAGTTGAATGTTAATGCTTGTTGCTTTTCATGACTTGTGCATGCATGTTTTAATAGTTTGTGTTGTAATGCAAAATATTGTGAAGAGAAAACACGCATCCAGGAAGCTTCACATGAAGAAATAAAACTTGGCTTGGAAGAAGACTAAGTGTTAGTTTGTAGGAAAAAGTCTCACAACTTTTAATAAACTTTGTATCCTTTGTAAAACTTTAATTTTCCCTCTTGTAACTTTGTAAAGAATCAATATGAGGATTTGCTCACTTGTACAACCCCCTAAACGCCTTGTTAGTTTGGTACCGAATATTGTAGATTTGTTTGATATTTGAAATATTTTTAGATATTTTTGTGTTTCAAAGATGCAAGTATATTTTTCTGTTGAACCAAATTCAATGTCATGTCACAACGACACCTTTAATATATGGAGACACAACATTTAAGAGAAAACATCGGGGTGCACCATATCTAATGAAAACAATTACCACAGAATAATAAATAAGTGCTAATTTTGTAAACAAAGCTGGGAAAATAAACACAAACTGATATTAGAAATGCATTTTTGAATGAGTTCATACTCGTTCTGGAAATGTATCTCTGGAATAAACACATGTTTTTCAGACAAAAAACAAGTTTAATTTGAGCAATGAAGTTTGAAATAAATGATCTTTACCTGAAATTTCAACTTATTTTGTTCTCTTTAATGTGATGAAACACAAGATTGAAGATTTGAAGTGAAAATGTGGATTGAGAATGGAAGAATTTTTTGGCGAGGCTTTTGAGTGAAAAACAAATATGGTTTTGTAATCATGCAGCTCTGTGTTTTATCAAATCATTTTGAAGATGCATTTCCTAAAATATCTAACATGCAAAGGTGACAACAAATTTTAAAATCCAACTCCAAACTTTTGAAAATGCATCTCTGAAATATCTACTGAACTGATCAACTATTATTATATTTGTTAAAAATATCTGAAGATATATCTCCGATTTTTTTTAAGTATTCATATAGGGTGAGACTCATTTGATGCATCATAATTTTGATGCTTAGTGTATTTTAAGATGGATCTCCAAAATCTCTCTAGACGATTTTAATTTTTTGTAAAGTATTTTTCCATCCTATAGAATGTTAAGAAATTTCCTAACCCAACATAATTGGGCCGATGCTATGGCCCAATAAAACTAAGCAAAATAATTTGTTCATTGGGGATATTATTAGTAACCAATTAGAAGACATAAAAGCAAGTCAACAACAACTCAAAAGCTCCCTCCTCTATACGGCATCCAGCATTTCAAATTTCAAGCACAAATTTATAGAGCTGTTGAGGACCGTTTCAATAGAAAAGTTGATACCAGAAAGTATCACAGTAGGAAACAAAAAACAAAGCCTTTATCAATTCTTTACACATAAAACCAACTTAAATAATAATCTTTACAAAACGATTTTAGAAATAGAACGGCACGCAATCGCAACCCAGCCAAACATGCCCTGTTCTCTGAATTAATCAATTAATCACACACGCCATAACTAAATAAAAAGCACAACACGTTCTAAAATTACAGCTTCTTCTAAGCTGGAAGACCCTTTCCATTTCTTAAACGCGTTTAATCATTATTCATTTACCTTTTTAAAAAAATAACTCATTTCCTATCTCACTTTAATTAAAAAATAAACCAAACAAATACAAAATAAACAAAACACTATATATTTACTTTATCTCTCATTTTTCAAAATTCGAATTTCAAGCAAACGAATCCCAAACAGACACAACAACTATGATCTCGCAACTACGGAATCACTACTGTCGTTTCAGTATCGTCGTTTTAGCGACAATCTTTCTTGCAACGACGTCGTTTACCGATGCTCAAACCTGCAACGGCATACTCATCTCCTACTCCGCCGGAACCGGAGTGCGTCTGCCGCCGAACGTCACCAACCCTAAGAAGCAACCGTATCGATTCGAATCGACGTTGACCGTGCTCAACAACGGTCTCGATGAGCTCAAGTCATGGAAGGTCTTCGTTGGGTTTCAGCATGATGAGTTTTTGGTTTCTGCTTCCGATGCTGTTCTTGCTGACGGCACCACTCTCCCTGCTGCCGTTGGTAATGGTACTGTTTTTGCTGGGTATCCGATGACCGATCTCAAGACTGCTGTTGAGACTGCTGGCGACTTGACTCAGATGCAGGCTAGGATCGATCTTGTTGGCACCGTCTTTGGGGTGGCGCCGCCCAATGTTCCTTTGCCGTCTTCCATCAACCTCGCCAATGATGGATTCATCTGCGGCAAAGCCACCGGTCAAGGTAGTTTCCTTATTTTGAGTTTTTTTTTTATTTTTTATAAAGTGTTTGTCTAGGTTGAATTCTGGATTACAATTTGTATGATCTAAGATTCGATTAATTTTGGATATTTTAGGGTTTTGATTCAGTTTAACTGCTTAATGGATTAATTTTGTTATAGAAATAGCTTATGTTATAAGTGCTTGATTAAGTTGTTTATCTTTTGTTAGGGAAGAATGGGACTAATGTGTGTTGCACAAGAGATCCGAAGTTCAAAACAAACATCACTACAGATGAGAAGTTTCTGCCTCGTCAAGATGGTGATCTTACTATTATGTATGATGTGATTCGATCTTATGATTCAAATTATTGGGCAGAGGTTGCTATTTCTAACCATAATCCTCTTGGAAGGCTTGATAATTGGAGATTGAATTGGGATTGGATGAATGATGAGTTTATATTTGCGATGAAAGGTGCTTATCCATCTGTTGTAGATGCTTCTGATTGTATTTTCGGTAAGCAAGGTACATTTTACAAGGATCTTGATTTTGCGACTGTTTTGAATTGTCAAAGGAGGCCGACAATTATTGATCTTCCTCCTACTAAGTTCAATGATACTGATCTTGGGAAGATTCCGTCTTGTTGTCGGAACGGTACTATATTGCCGCCGTCCATGGATCCTAGCAAGTCGGTTTCGAGATTCCAAATGCAAGTGTTCAAAATGCCGCCTGTGCTTAACCGATCTGAGCTTTCACCGCCGCAGAACTGGAAAATTAGTGGTTCACTTAATCCTGACTATAAATGCGGTCCTCCGATTCGTGTTAGCCCTACCGCGAATCCAGATCCGACAGGGTTGCCGTTGAACAAAACGGTAATGGCGAGTTGGCAGGTTGTGTGTAATATAACAACAGCCAAGGGAACATCCAGTAAATGCTGTGTCTCGTTTTCAGCTTTTTACAATGAATCAGTTATCCCATGCAAAACTTGTGCATGTGGATGCGCCAATAATGTGGGAAGAACGTGTAGTACAACTGCACCTGCTATGTGGCTTCCCTCGGAAGCACTACTTGTTCCTTTCGAGAACCGAACCGCCAAGGCTCTTGCGTGGGCGAGTCTGAAACATCTGCCAATGCCAAAACCTATGCCTTGCAGTGATAACTGCGGTGTGAGCATAAACTGGCATTTACTTACAGATTACAATAAAGGATGGAGTGCAAGGGTCACACTTTTCAATTGGGGTGAAACTAATTTTGCAGACTGGTTTGCTGCTGTGCAAATGGACAAAGCTACTGCAGGTTTTGAGAAAATGTATTCATTCAACGGAAGCGCCGTAGAAATAAACGGCGTGAATAATACGATAATAATGCAAGGTTTGGAGGGGTTGAACTACCTTGTTGGAGAAACAGATGGAGCTGACCCTCGGAGAGATCCCAGGGTGCCTGGCAAACAACAGTCAGTAATGTCATTCACAAAGAAAACTACTCCTGGAATCAGTGTCATTCACGGTGATGGGTTTCCAACGAAAGTGTTCTTCAATGGGGAGGAATGTTCTCTTCCTTCTGTATTTCCAACCAGTAGTGCTTTCAGGAAGGGATTTTCCTTTGCTACTTTGATGCTTCTACCCTTGTTGTTAGCCGTCTTCATGTGGTAATAGCGGTTTCGTTAAGTTCGATTTTGGTAATTCTGGGCTCAGCTGTTGTCCTGAACAAGATTTGATTCACAGATTGAACAAGTCACAGAAACAAAATGAGAAATCTTAGAGGACTGAGTTTTGGATTCTGTTGTAATCCTTATTCAAACTTATATGATTCTTTCAAACGTTATTATGGTACAGAAGATTGTAGACCTGTGTTAGATGTTAGAAATATATTACTACTTTGTCTATTGAAAATTTTGTGTTAAATGTTATATTAATTAATTTGCATGGGTTTTTAATTCTCAGTGTATTTTTTTTCACTCTCATTTTTTTATATTAAAAATTTCTATTGCATCCTTTTATTCCAGAGTACAAATTTCACTTCAATGGAGATGGATCTTTGATATTTCAGTTTGTTTTAAGTTTGTTAAAAAGTGCTTACGGCGATTTTAGTAACTTCCACAACTCAACAATTATAAAGTTTGTCATTTTCATGAAATTTACGAATACTAAAAATCTTTTGTTTAGTAATTTCCAAATGAATAACCAATTTTCTAATTTATATAAATAGACACGTTAACCACAAAAAGCTAACTGTAGTGTCACTATTTAGTTCTCTTTTTGTCTTGTAGAAAGTGACACTATTTCATTCCTAACTGTTTGATTCCTTTTCATCAATAGGGTTGTTGTCAAATATTGTGTTCAAATGGCATATTTTATCCAAATAATAGCATGTGCATCATCACAGCATTTATAAAATCTTTCTGTTAATCTTTATTCCTACAAAGAAGTTAAGTACTGATATATCCCAAATGCATGTTCATGACCACTTCATAGGACATGTAGCTGTAACATAAAATCCCAAATAAGTACTAAACCATGTTCATGTACAAAGAATCCATAACATAATCAAAGAGCAGACTTGTCACAGCTGAAACATTAAAGCGCAAAACTACCAACCGACACGAGCATAAACATCCGGAAAAGAATAGTCAGAACAAATGTCTTGAACAACAAAATAAAAATATTTACACACTTACGACAGTCATTTACTTTGAAGAACATAAAATTTAAAGAGAAACAAGGAATTTTTTTTCATGATTTGTTATTGAAGTTAGAAGTACTCCTATGAGTTTGCAATTCTTCTTCCCTAACCCAAACATACCTCTTCAAGAACACCCTAAAATTAGAACATTGCTAGAAATGTTGCTATCAATAGCAGCAGTCAAAAATTGCACATGCCTTGTGCATTTTATGCAGTCGAGTTTTGTAGTCGATTCATCTTGATCAATAACGAACGTCAAGACTAAAACCAATATAGTACACTACTCCCTGAAGTTTGAATATTTGACATCAACGAAATTCTTTTGTCTAGATAACTTAGACTCGGTTTGAAAATAGATAATTGCAGAATGATAACATGCATATGTAACAGCAACTATTTACAGTTGTAATTGCAATCCGAAAGAACTGGCTGAGAGTCGCTTCTAGACAGGAATGTTGTCCAGAGAATATCCATCGAAGTCAAACTCATTCTCGCCTTGTACGATGCCTTCCTGCTGCAACAAACAGACAAAAATATTGATTTGTTTATAATGGAAAAATATATGCAATTATGAATGTTTCGGATCAAACGAAAGAAGGATGGCCAACCTGTTTCAGAAGTACACTCATAAGATCCTCCTGTCCGTAATGATCAGGGAAGAGATTAGTCTGGGAGCTCGCGTCTGGAACTATTTCAGACTTAATAACCCTTGTTGAATTTTCAACAATGGGGTTGAAGTGTTGAACGCCATTTTGGAAATTACCTTGTCCTGAGCTTTCTCCGAGAGAAAAAGGAGATTTTCCAATCAAAGAGTTATCTCTGTTATGTCCATTTTGTGGCGTAGAAGAATAACCCTGATGGACTAAAACTGATGGCGAGACATCGATGTTACCATGTAGAGGATTTGCATGCTGTGAGGAATCATATGTAAGACCAGGGTTTGTCATCCCCCAATCCCGAGGCTTCTGATGGTTCAGTTCGTTAAAAATATCATAACTTGGAAATCCAGCTGATCCTTTAATACCCGAATTAACTTCAGCTTGAAATGTGCCTTTGTTTGTTATACTAGATATACCTGGAGTGCTACCGAGAGGAAAATTTGTAACAGACATTTCAGTGCTTTGATTCATTGGAGAATTAAAAAACAAAGAGCTCTGTGGAACAGAATTAAATGAAGGCCCTCTGCTGCTACTAGCTATGCCGTTTCTCCCTAAAAGGCCGTCGGAAATTCCATTTGATACAGTAGACTGCCCCAAGAGGTTCGGTAGTCTGGGAACACGGGGACTGGTATTTTCACTTAGCATCTGACCTCTAGGTTGGGATTGTTGTGCCATCTGCATCAATAAGGGATTTCCCTGTGGGGAAGAACCAGGGACTCGCATATTCAAGTTGCCAAGGGATTGAGCTGCAGACTGGTGCAAATTGGCAAGCTGCTTCGGTTCCATGTTGGTCGGAACTCCGTGAAGAAGATTTGTCTGTTTATTATTGCTCAAAAGCTGTTGTTGCCCTTCTCCAAATCTCAACCTCGGGTTTTCAAAACTGAAAAGGTTTCTTTGATCCATGAGAGGCATAGGTAAGCCTGATTTCACAGCTGACCTACCGAGTCCTGCAGCTTGAAGAGTGGCTAAACTCTGTGCTGGGAGCTGGCCAGCAGCTGCAAGAGTTTGCAGATCAAGACCATTCATCGATGAAATAGTACCAAATGACGCCTCTTGCGGACTGAGAAATGAGTTGTTCTGATGCTGAGAAACTCCACTCAATCTTCGAAGATACAATCGATATTTCTGTAACAACAAAATAAAAATGAAAATAAATGTTATATGCATTAAGTAATAATCATAGTATTGGCGTATATGACCACAAGAAGACGTAGGGATATAAAATTTAACTTGAGCCATTTCTGAAGGACATGGTGTATAACAGTATGATACCTGCAGGTGGCTAGCAACATTTTCTCGGGTGAGCCCGGGAACATTCATCAATTCCAGAATTTTTTTAGGAACAGCCTCTGCATACAGATATGAATTTGAATCAGGTAAGACACAACAACAACACAATACTTCAAAGCTAAGAAGATATTCAAGCAAATCTTAGTTATCCATAAAATTATCGATTAGTTTAGTTTTAAAATTGAATCGCATAAATTGACAGTATGAAAAATTAAGATGCAGAATCCGAAGGATTATCCATCACAAAAGTATTGAGAGGCATTGCCATGTCTTTAGATAGATCTGCGAAGATGGAAAATGATTTTCTATTTTTTTATCTTTGAAGGATTGCAGGTGAAGGATACATACTGTCAATTCCTAGTTGATCGACAGCAGCCACAAACTGTTGATGGAGCTCGACAGACCAAACAACCCGAGGCTTCTTTAGTGTGGATGAGTCATCTCTATCATCGCCATCCTCTTCATCATCCCTTCTCTTTCTCGAACTTCTCCAATTACTTTCATTAGCAGAAGACGAATAATCAGCATCATCAGAAGCCTTTGGATGCCGATCCCCTTCATCAGCACTACCCGATTGTTCTGAATCTTTCCAGTCGTTGTTCTTTTTCTTCCGAACCACATGTTGCCATATGTTCTTCAAAGCCTCCATACGAACCGGCTTAATCAGGTAATCACAAGCACCGTGTGTTACACCCTTCATAACAACATGTTTACCATCATCCGCGGACATCACTGTAATCATGATAGAAAACATTTTTTACTCAAATCTCAATAACAATGAAGTCTACTAACAGATCTAAGTTGCGAAAAAAAATAAAATCGAAGTACTCACTAATAACCGGAAGGTCCATTTCCAATCCAATGTGTTCCAAAAGCTTAAATCCATCCATGTCTGGCATATGGACATCACTGATAACAATGTCAAATCCATTCTTGTTCTCCCTGAGTAGCGAAAGTGCGGCTTCGGCTCGATTGCACTGCGTAACTGAAATGAACTCAACAAAATTATTACTCAAAATTCATAATTAATTGAATCAAATGAACGATAACAATTAAGTTATGAGTCAAAAACAAATCTGAAAACCAGAAGTTCAAAATCAAAACCAGGTTTAAAAAAAGAGGAAAATAAATTAAAAAAACCTTGCTTCAACAGCTACAAGATATTGATACAGTTCATGATATACGAAAACAACTTCAAAGCAATTAAACTCGAAGAGAGAGAAAAAAAGTCTTGAAAATTGTTGATTAGTGCTACTGTTCCATAAATCAGATTTTTGATTGATCAAAAAACAGTTCAACAGAAAAATCGATTCTTCGTATTTTGATTAAGGGTTTTTCAATTGAAGATAAAGTAGGCTTTTTTTTTCATGGATTTTCATCTAATTAATCATTGTAACATATCGAAATTCAAGAGAGTGAAAAAAAATGAAAATTCAGTCAGAGAAATTCTAATTCTACTTCAAATTCAATACCTTCATAATAACACGACCGCAACATCTTCTCGAGGATTTTCAGACACGTGGGATCATCATCCACAACGAGAACTCGCAGACCCGCCGGAAACGGATCGGAACCTTCGCCGGATTTCATAGAAACAGTCGCAGTAGTAACCGCAGAAATGGATCCTTTGCTGTTAGTAAGATTCATAGCTGAGAGATCCAAAAGAACAAACACAAACACAAACACAACAGAACAACACAAACGTTGGTGTTCGTTCACATAGTTAATTTCATTTCAATTCAATTTCAATTTGAATTTTAATTTGAAGTTAGAGTGAAAGTGAAACAGAAGTAACTGAGGAAGCTCGCAAGTTCGGAACTCAAGAGAACGCAAGAATCGGAGAAGAAAGAAAGAAAGAGAAACTGAATTTTTGTGTCCGAAATTTTTTACATAAAATAATAAATATTGTTCTCCGACCTCAATGTTATGTCGCCTGGTCACTGTTACATGCTGAATTAATTTATTGATTATTTAATTAATTAATTTAATGCTCGTCAAAAAAATAGAAAAGTTAATTAATT